CCTGCGAATTGTCGGGAATGACCAGGTGCAGTGTAACTGTTCTCCATTGTATACTGTGACCTGTCACCTCTGGCCAGCAGTGTCTCTGTCACCAGCAGCAGCATAGCCTGTTCCTAACCCATTCACATGATACAGCAATCAGGTGTTTCACCCCAGCTGCCACCCACCTTGGTGACCAGGTAACCGGGGTGCACAGAACATCGTACTACATCAACAGGGGCCATGCTTGGCCAAGCCATATTAGGTAAGAATAGTCTTAGGTAAGAACAGCCTGGGCACCACTGCTCCAGGCTGGGGCTGCATGGGGGGCTTTATTGGGTTCCTGGACCAACCTAAATAGACCAATCCAGGTGGTACTTGCCTGTGGTTCCAGCTAGTGAGGAGGTGGCGAGAGAATTACCACACTGTGAGACCCTGTCAAAAGTACCTATCTCTTGGGCCGGCTCAGCACAATGGTAATGAACTCAGGGCCACTGCAGTTTGAATTCAGGCCTAGTCAGCCTGAAATTCACCAGGCTCCCATCCTCTTATCTTCATGTGTGCACACAATCATACCATCATGAATAAAGAATGAAAAGAAATGTAAAAAGAAACTTACCTCTCTCTCTGCACCCTTTCCTAAAAAAAGAAAAAGAAAAGCCATGTGTGATGATACACAGGAGGACAGCAACCCTGGTACTAGGTCAGTGGTCAGGAAGAAATAGGAGGCACGGAAATGTACGATGCAGGCAGTAGGTAGGTGTTCCTGGTCGCTACATCAAATAGGAGGCCTGTTGGAAAACCAGAGCGTTTTCGTTGATTCAGATGATACGCAGTGAGGCTTGTGCTGGAATAGAGGGATGCTTTGTTCCTGTGGGAGGCTGGGATGTTAGATCAGACACTATGGCAGTGGCTACTGGCTGCTCCTGGTGTAGGATTCCATCAGCAGCTGATGAAGAATTACATAGCAGTTCTTGGAGGTGGATTATTTGCCAGTGTGACCATTTCTCTCCACAATAATCTTCATTTCTCCATTTTACCAGGTCTCCCAGTCCTGTTGTTTTGGGTTAGGGCAGCCACAGTTCTCACCACTGATAGGACTTGACATCCAGCTTAAAGTCACCTGCACTGTTAACCTCTGTTTCAACCAGGGCTCTAAACAAGCCCTCAAGGGTGGGTTCCTCCAAAGGATGACAGGCTGTGACTCAGTATGCAGAGACTGGCTTTGGCATCCAAGAGCCACATTTCATCCTGAGTGGTTCTGCCCCCTCCCCACTACTGAGAGCTCCAGGACTTCTTCAATAGCAATTCTGTATTCACTGCTCCAGTACTCACCTTTATTTCTGGGGCTGGGAGGTGGTTTTTCAATCTAATCTCATAATTTTGTAGGACATTACTGCCAGTCTCCAAATCTACTGTGGATTTAAGAGGAATACTTGCTCCTATGAAGTTATTTCCCAGAATTTCCAAACCAAAATATCATTGCTAGAAGCCATTATGTTATTTATGTCCACGATGGATACGTTTATACGGTAAGCATCTACAGGATTTTCATTGGAAAATTCACAGAGCCTGGGGACTTCCTTTGGCGTATCTGTGAGGTCTATTCTGTCATTCTCGCTTGTCTCTGCTCTCTTCTCTGGCGACAGACGCTTCTCAGCACTCACCTGTAGTTCCATCTGGTCACCGAAACCCAGATCTTCGTAGATCCCCCACATTTAAACCTTTCGCATTCTCTTCCGGATCTCGTAGAACACCTGCTACATTCGTAGTTATCTAGATAGAACAAAGACAAGAGGAAGGGAAACAGCGATTCCTGCGCTCCGCGCGTCTCCTGCGTGGGAGACACTCTTCCTCTTCTCCCGGCTGCTTCTCGGATCCGAATACTCGTATACTCGTCGCTTCGGTTGCTCCCAGCTTCCGGATAACGAAGGGGTGCTCCAGAGAAAAGGCAGCGCGCCACTCGGGCTCATTAAATATCCTAACGTTCCTGACCAAGGGATGTGGAACAGATTGCGGGAGACGGGGCGCGCGGAGTCTACTGGTGCGTTTCTCAAAAGCCTTGGGAGATCACTGCGTCCGAATCGCCCTTGGATTGCTTTGTTTCACTCTAACCAGGGATTGGGGGACAGCGGCACCCAGAGGCCTGGGATGGTATCTCCCGCATTTTATTGACAGTCCTTACAAGAGACCGCCTTACTTCCGGGACTTACTGTAGAATACCAGCTGCTTTAGTATAAACGGTGCAAATCATTATTTATTTTTGACAAAATCTT